AAGAACCATGATAGAAAATTGGCTATCCAACTTGGCCAATCGTCAATCGGTCGACAGGGGGGATCACGAATCGGTAATTGTTGAGGGTGATAATGCGAACGAAAGAAGTGACGGGTAGGAAGCAGGGGATCTCGGGACGGAACAAAAGGGGTGCACAGGTGCTTACGGTGTACCTACCCGTAGCCCACTGGACCTCAGCGCTCCGATTTGCCGGTGCCTACGGTGTACCTAATTACCGGCTAATTAACCCATCAACATTCTGCTTTGCCCATTAATGAGATAGGTTGGTTTACCAACTATACATACCATCATCATCAGGATATGCTACGACGTATGGCAATGCCGATCGAGGTTAGTTCCAGCTGATCGATTTCTATCCACGTGTACGGTAGAGCTTCTGACCTCGCCACCTGTCGTGGCTCATCATTCATTCACCATGGACAAGGAGGCTGCCACAGGGGGGCAAAGCAAGGGTTTATTCATAGGGAATACTGTCGTGGGCTAACAGCTCACCGTAACGTCCATCTTGCCAAAAATCAGTTGGTCTCAATTATATAATAGTATTTGTGGTATAACACAATACTACTCGTGCCATATATACTCTAATACATCTGACGATTATGGATTGCCCGCGTGCCATCCTACGGTTGTGCATTTTGTGAGCACGTTCACACATACGCCGTGTCTGTGAACACCATAATCGAATGTTGCGATGAGGTTTCCTAGACTAGGTTCAGAACCTTTCTTCTGGAAGAGAGCCAATCTTGGTTGTCCGTCGAGTCGTCGAGGGAAACTGTTGTTGTGTTCTGCAAGTGCGTCACTGATGCCGTTTGTTTTTTTTTGGTTCTTGGTCTCCAACTTGGGGGTATTGATTGCGTCCCGTGGGTTTGATGGTGATACGGGGGAGATGGCAAAATTGGCAAGTTATTAGCTTCAGAAAACCCTTCCTTTTTGTGGTAGCTGACGAGATGGAGCCACTTGGTCTTGGCATAACCGCATAACTTACGCTACATGTACAGGGCCTAGTATATGTTGTTGTAACTTGTATTAGCTGCAATAAAAGAAAAGTAGAGACCAATTTGGCTGCTCAATCAGTTTGCATTTGTTAGCCTTTTCTTAGTATTTGTATTTTGACATAAAGTTATGGTGAAAGAGTATGAATTAACATACATAAAACTGGAGAGAATGATGATGAAGAAAAGATCATTAAAACATGCATACACAGTATCCAAACCAACACAAAGTAACTATTTTTTGAAACCCTAAATCAAAGAATGCAATCGATCAAAGATATCGTACGACTCATCTTAGTTTAGATATTTTTGGAAGAGAGTAGAAATGAAGAAGTGAATTTCGGAGTGCTTTTGGTGCTATGAAACATGTGTATGAAAAGCAGCGATGGTGTTGTTTCGCGAAAAATGAAGGGGTTCACTTGAAGAGATGTTATTGCTTCGATAAGCCTGCTAGTGGTTGAACTTAGCGGCTGCATCCCAATGGTTGCATCCGTTGGGCTGTTGGTACTTGGACAAGATAGGTACAAACCAACTACTATACCATTTCAATTTTCAACCATAACCGATTTGATCTTGGCTGGTTACAAATACCAATCTGACCGAATTCCAAAACAATTAATCAAATCTAGTTAGTAAGACTTAAAGACAAAGTGAGCAACGACGATAACATGAGAGTCTATCTCCTTATGCTCTTTTCACTAGTCCTAATGGGCTTGTACACTTAAATACTTATTCCCTTTCTCACATCTCATCGATGAGACATATAAGTGAGCTTCTTTTAATTCTATTTATTTTCTTTCGCTCACTTAAGTCCCAAAATAATAATGTTACTGAAAAGATTTTCAAATTTTTCTTTTTTCTTAGTGTTGAAAATTGTAATTAAATATAATCTTTATCAACTCATTTGTTTATGTCTTAAATGGAATTTTGGTTGGAGTGTATTAGTTCAACAATGCAATTGATTGTGATACTTGTTTGTATACTTAACGCTACAATGGTGTCTTAAATGGAATTTTGGTTGGAGTGTATTAGTTCAACAATGCAATTGATTGTGATACTTGTTTGTATACTTAACGCTTTCCTCTTTGTCCGTCAATTCGCCTCTATATGAAAACCATAGGTTTACCGCATTTCAAGTGTTTGTACAAAGTTGAGTGGGATGGTTTTTAGAGGGGTATGGAGTATGGACTTAGTTTAGCATGAAAAAAAATTCAAACTTATGTGTGATCATTTGTTAGATATCTCCTTAGGTTCTAAACTTATTAGTCTTGTGACTTGCGAGTCTCCAATATTGTTGGATCTGCTGTGCAATTCGACAAACTTTGATGGTTGCACCTAGGGCTGTTAATGAACCAAGCCACTCATGAACGACTCGGGGTCCGGTTCGAAAAAAATTCATTCGGTACTCGATTCGTTGTTAACCGAGCCGGCTCGCGAACAGGCTCGTTAACTAACGAGCTGAACTCGAGCCATGACATGTTCAGTTCGATAGGTTCGCGAACTAGCTCGACTCAAAGGCTCGTTATATTTAATTCACGAACCAGCTCGTTTAAAGTTTGGGAGCGGGCTCGAAAGTGTTAGGATGGTGGACTGTGGACTAATTTGTTCAATAATACAATATTATATATAATTTATTTTTAAGCTAAGTAGAGAACCCGTCTGTCTGGTCCCCCCACTTTCCTCACTCATTGACTAAGGAAAGAAAGATGAAGAACCCTAGTACTCCTCTGCCGTCATCGCACCTCCTCATTCATCGGCTTTAGTTCGTCTCTGTGAGGTCGCATCTTTTATTTCATTCAGCGGCAGATGCTTGCTTCTCCTCCGTCATCCTTCGCCCACGATCTTTGATTTCACAGCACTTGTCTCCACTGCTACGGATTGTTGCATCGCCTTGCTTCCCTCATCGAAGATCCGAGAGCATCCTCAAGCCTTACATCGGTGTCCCAGCACGCAGAACCGCCTCCATTCATCTCTTGTGCTGCAGATTGTAGATCTTCTACTCTTGTTACTATAACGGTGAGCAACACAATTCCAATGCAACCTAGACTTTGGATGGGGATAACAGTAGAGAGAGTCTTGACGGATATGGTTTTGGATGTTTAAGTTTACTTGTTTAAGAGTGGAGACTCTCTCTACTGCTTGCTATTGATTTTAATAACAATGGCCATCTATTTCACGAGCTCTCTCCTGTTATACTTTGCTAAGATAAAAGACAAAAACATTAGTTAATTACTTATTGTGATTGTTTACCCTGTTTTACAATCCCTACAAAACCTTTTATTGAATAGCTTTGGATGTTTCCCCTTTCTCCTTTGTTTATTGTATTTAGTTTTGTTGTTTTTCTTATTTTGGACTAAAGTAGTGTAAACACACAGACATCAATGAATAAAGAAGAAACTAAAGTATGTTGTGGTCTTAACATGAGTTAACATCATTATCTTTGTGGTCCAGAACATTAAAGAAATGACAGGAGAAGAGTTGCCAGCAAATCTAGCTAATAACAATGTTCCTGCTGCTGCGGTTCAAGTTCAACCAGAGGGACAACTTCAACCAGTGATCGAAAATCAAGGTGAAGAAGAACAACAACCTTATGAACTAAAAAAGCGGAAGAAGACTTCAAAAGCATGGGAGGATTTCAAAGAAGTTGTTGTGGCAGGCGTGAGCAAGCTAGAGTGTTGCCAGTGCAAAACCAGATTACAGAAAAACCCATCAGGTTGTACGAGTCATTTCTTGAGGCATATACAAAGATGTACAAGGAAGCCTAAATCTAATGGGAAGGGACAACAACATCTAAGCTTGGAAACTAATGATAGTGTTCTTGCTGTCCAGAATTTCAAATATGATCATGCTAAGGTACGAGAACTTATGGCTCATTACATCATAGTCCATGAACAACCCTTTGCTGCTGCTGAGTATGAAGTCTTGAACAAGTTGATTAGAGCATGCACTCCACACTATAAAAAAATCTGTCGTTCCACTGCTACAAGTGATGTCTTTGAGACATACAAGATCTTTAAAGGAAAGATAAAATCTCTTCTTGAAGGTGTGAATAGGATGAGCTTAACAACTGATTTGTGGAAATCTAATCAGACTGTGCAGTATATGGTTCTTACTTGTCATTTTGTGGACAATGATTGGGTGCTGCAAAAACGAATTCTTAATTTCTGCCATGTTAAACCACCTCATACTGGACTTGTTGTGGCTGATGCATTGCACAAATGTTTGGTTGATTGGGATATATCTAGAAAAGTGTGGACAATCACAGTAGACAATGCTTCTTACAATGATAGTGTTGTGAAGAATTTGAAAGGCATTCTTAGTTATCAAGGTGCACTTCCTCTTGGCGGTGAAATATTCCATATCCGATGTTGTGCTCACATACTGAATATATTGGTGCAAGATGGTTTGAAAGAGATTCAAGACATAGTTACTGATGTTAGGGAAAGTGTTAAACACATTGCTGCTTCAGAAATTCGAATTACAACATTTTGAGATATTGCTAAGCAACTTCAGTTGCCTGCCAAAAAGCTTGTGTTAGACTGTTCAACTCGATGGAATTCAACTTATCACATGATGTCTACAGCCTTAGAGTTGAAAGATGTGTTTCCTCTGTATAAAGAAAGAGACTCTTTGTATCATTCTCTCCCATCGGAGGAAGATTGGGAAAATGTTAAACTTGTATGTGACTTTCTTGAATTGTTCAATGATGTCACAACAATGATTTCTGGAAGTGCTTATCCAACTGCCAATTTGTTTCTTCCTGAGCTTTGTGATATTAAACTGTTGTTAAAAAAGACTTTGGACTCAAGTCATGCAAGTATGAGGTCTATGGCTTCTCGAATGCTCAAGAAATTTGATAAATATTGGGGTGAGGCTAATTTTGTAGTTTCCCTTGCTGCTGTCTTGGATCCGAGGAACAAATTCAAGATGCTCGAGGCATACTTTCCAGATCTGTACACTCCGGCAGATTCTGAGTTGAATGTTCGAATGGCCCGAGATAAATTGTATAAGCTTTTCCATGAGTTTGTTGAGGATTTCAGAGCTAGAAATGTTGCATCAGCTGCAAGTGATGTTCAAACAGCTCCCTCTGCTAGTACATCAACTGGAAATTCTAAGAAAAGAAGTGGAAGGGCAAGGTTTGATTCCATGGTTCAAAATGTTAACTTTGCTTCTACAATGAAATCTCAACTTGATATTTATCTTGAGGAAGGTCTTTATGTGCACACCGAGGAGTCTATGTTTGACATCATTGGGTGGTGGAAAGAGCAAAGGATAAGATTCAAGGTTTTATCAAGGATGACATGCGATATTATGGCAATTCCTGTTACATCGGTAGCCTCTGAAACTACCTTTAGTGCTGGAGGAAGGGTGATTGATCCTCAACGAGCATCCTTGGGACAAGAGACAGTTGAGGCTCTACTTTGCTCTCATGATTGGTTGAGAGCCTATCATGGTCTAAGAGGAAATTCTGAGGTGAATTTTAACTATACTGTTTATGTTTAAGTTTTATGTGTTGTTATGCTGTGAAGTCTAATTAGAAACTCTATTCTTGTCTTTGTAGGCTATGACGAAGAAAGAAGAGATTATCGAAATTGACTTGGCCTAGACAATCTCGGTTAGTCTTGTTAGCATTTTGTTTATCTTTGTTATCTACTGATTTTTACTTTCCCCTTCCATTTATCTTTCTTTCTGTCTCTCATGACTCTTTCTAGTTGCCTCTGGTGGTATGAACTTTGTAGCACTTGGTCTTAAAAGTAGGCCAAAAATGTATATATGGAACCCAAAATGAACCTAAAACTGGAAGCCAAACTTTATATCATCAGAATCATTTCTAGCTTATGTTTGTTTTCTCATTAGAGAGACACTGCTTGCTTATAAGTTATATCACAACATGTAGTTTTGAATTATTTGGTTCTGTTATGAGCACAAATAGAATATAAACAGTAACAAAAAGTGATATGGTAATGGATTTCTCATGTTTATGTTACTTTTACGCAGGGGAATGGGAGTTGACAACTGATGAGTAAAGTTGAAGATGATTAATGCATCTTTTCTTTTGAATTTTGAGACTTGTCACTGAGTTTCAAACTCCTTATTTAATGTTGTTTAGATTCTCAGAACTTGTTCACAAATAGGTTTATGTTCGGATGGTAATTGTAATGATGTACTAAACCATCAAACATCTTTTGCCCAATGCGTTGGTCTAAGTAAGATATACATTGTAAGCCCTACAGGTTAGAATTTAATTCCGAGCCAAGCTTGAACTCGATTTTGGCTCGTTAAGCCTTTTTGGCGAGCCGAGCACGAGCCGAGCTCGAGCTCTTATTTTCATAAGCGAGTCGAGCTTGAACATTCCTACCAAAGCTCGTGACGAACTCGAGCCGAACTCGAGCTTGAGTTTTTTTTTCACGAGCCGAGCCCGAATCATAGCAAAACTCGATTCGACTCGGATCATTAACAGCCTTAGTTGCACCCACACCCAAAACAAATACAAGCCTGCAGAGTCAACGAGAAAGCCCAATAGTAAGCCCATTCAGAGGTAATAGATCATAAATAGACGTCCACTTAAATTGGGCTTTTGAATAGGCTTCGATTTACGGCCCAAATGGGTCTATTATCAGCACTTATATACAAATGTTCTCTGTTACCATATACTACTAGCATTGGGCCCGGCCCTTTGGCCGGTATAGTACAAAACTTCACTGTGTATTGTGTTTTACTCTACGTATAAGGAATTGTAACAAATCTTACAATCTTATGACTCGTATGATCTTATGATTGAGATCAAACATAATATTTGAAGTAGTAATTAAGTACTGTTTAAATATTAGAGATCATGTATAAGTAATTAAGTAACTAAGAATGACATGAGAAACCCTTGAAAGGCTTTTGAACTTTTAAATTAAAAGTTCGGTAAAAAAAACTTAAAAATTAAAGGGAACCTACCAATCAGCACTCATTTCATGTTTATCCACATGATCGTATACAGTTATGCTTAACATGATGCATAATTACATTTTATGAAGAAAAAAGCATTAAACTAAACAAACTGCAATATAAGAAGAAACAGGAAATAGCAGCCACCTGATTAGATAAACTCACCAAGTACAATTGTTGGATGCTTCATAGCCCTTTAGAAGTAGAATCTTTGGATGCTATCCCACTTCACTTTCCAAACATGGAGTAGATTTTGTTGGGGGATTCCCCAGGAAGTCACTCACAAAACTTGTTTCAAGTAAATTCCATGGTATAGAATGTTGCTTTTATTCCCCAATACACCTCATATTCAAAACATCCTACTGATAAAGTTTTCTACGTGATGCATCTTGAAAAATACCCTACTGAAGATTTAGGCTAGGTTAGAGGGCTTTTAGCTGATAATGTTAGAATTTACTTTATTCTATGTAATTCCCTGGAACACATCTCGTCAGATTATCAAAGGTTCGTAGAAATACCTGGAACTGTGTTGTTGATCGCCAAGAGCTTGATGCGGAATCTGGAAGACGATCTACAGCCGGACGATACTTCTTGGAGCACGATCCGGGAGGTTTTGTGATCTTCCTCAACCAAGCCTCCTTAGACCACTAACGGGAATCCTCTGATCTTCCTGATGGGGAGAAGAAGAGAGTGTTTCGTCTTGGTGTCTTGGGGACCACAACCTCTAGATTCTTTTATATACTATGTTTAGCTAGGGTTCCCATAAAACCCTAATTAGGTTTAGTATCTGGTTTCCACTCATTGGGCCCATATTGGGTTTAAGCAGTCATGGGCTTGACAAAATTGATCACTTAAAATAGCCCATCAAAATCAAATACCCCATACAATGTTTGTGAATTGATAGTCCACTTAAGATAGGAATAAAATTCCTAACAATCTCCCACTTGGACTGTCTAATTGCATAAACACTTATATTACAAAATTCTTTAGGCGCGTAACCGTATGGTATTTGTACAACAACTACTTCTTAACAATCTGGTCCACCTCATGTATCAACAATGGAACCAACGCGGCTTTAATCACGATATGATAATGATTAAACCACCATGATCACCACACCAATACACTTAATGACATAGATCAAATATGGATGAGTGGCATGAAAATTACATGCAATGTGATCTTCAACATGCCTATTTTCAACTGGTCCTACTTTAGTCCTTAGTGAGATCAACTGAAATTCCTTCATACAATATGATCACTGTATAACTGAAGGCACTTTAATTTTCAAATAGACTATAGAAAACCATCACTTTATTCTGCAGAAATTAGTTTAGTCATAACTATTGAACATACTTAAATGACTCCCACTATACCAAGGTACCATCCGGAATAACACTCATGTGAGCAACGTGCTCGTGGAAAACTTTAGGTGTCAAACCTTTGGCTAATGGACAAGCTAGCATTAGTCATGTCTTTAATGTTCAATAGAAACTTGTCAATTTTGAACCTCTTTAACCACCATGAGCTTGATGTCAATATATTTTACTTCTGAAATCCGTGGTAATGATAGTGTATCACTATCAAATCATTGTCACTGTTAACCTTTAATGACTTACCAATGTCATTTTAGTGACAAAACTTTGCTACCATAATTGGAAGTCTCAAGATATGCTTTGAACTCTACCCAACACTGAAGGGTAACCTGATGTAGAGTTTATGCTACCTTGACATCCTGTAACATCAGATTCAGAGTACTTGATGATCTCTAAATTATCTGATCTCTAACAAATTTGCATGAATTCTTTTATCAACTTTAGTAAACGCGTTACACGTTTGAATCCTTCTAGTGTTTCATGCATAGACCAATCAAATATCTGCCAAAAACTCTTACTAGAAATGCTTTATTGGGATGAGAATAAACTAAAGTATACATTTGATCTTTAATGCAAATATGCATTCAAGAGATTTTGTATCTTAATTTCTTATATATAATTGGGGCACTGATTGAGACCAAAACTATCTCCCTTAGCTACAACACATCTCCTGGTTTACTAACTTATTCTACTTGCACCTTAAGTAGAACAACCATGATGTATAAAACAGGAAAAATAATTTACTCCCACTGAACTTAAGATATAAACAATCATCTCCAACATTAGTCTCTAAATCTGAATGAGCTAATAACATGATAAAAATTGTGATATCAATAATGAGATGCTTATATGAGCCACCATTGCCATTATATTCCTTAAAGAGTCTTTCAAATATACCAGAGAGAAAGTCTCTTTGAGCCAACACTTTCCTTATTAGTAAAGCATTAGAGACCAACATGCCTTATATCTCTCATTGACTTCACCACATGGCATCAATCCACTTCTCATAACTGTTCATGACTTGACAAAAATTGAATCATTAGTCAACCTGATGTCATGTATATATTCTTTGAAGAACAACGATATTGTTGCTAGAATCGTCCATCTTCTACTTTGTGGATATACTTAATGGCACTTCTTGAGTGTGTTGAGTTTGTGTGGTAACAATATTCCTTATGTTTCCTTCCCCCAAAACTCAAAATACTCAAGAAATCTCACATTTCTCATTTAAAAACTTCTTGAGGTGGGATTATAAAACTTGTAGCCTCGAGAGTACTATTGAGTAGCCAACAAAGTATAAGTTAATTCTTTTGTCCATTATACCTTCTTGTACCTTACAAGGTATTTCCTAAGTTGGACAACCCTAAATGTGCAAAGTCCTTATTGCACTTATTGGTTACATTAACTAACTTCTGGATACTCAATTTAAGGATGTACGTTGTAACCTTTATGGCTTTTATCCAAATGGAGTCTAGTAAGTAGAAATACTCATCGCCATGTCCTTAAGAGTTCAACGAAACCATAACATCCTTAACTCTCTATTTGTTCCTTTACTGAGAATTTGAGGTTGAGTGATTGAGTTCAGTCTCATCTCGTATCTTCCCTCCTCTCCTTTTGTGAATATTAGTACTCACCTAAAACTTCATGGAGGAAGATAAATTAAAACAAGTGTTGAGTATGCCTTTTGACACCTCCAAAATATAATACACTTGTACATTTTGCCTTTACACTTTATGGATTAAATTACCCCAATAGGCAGCTTACCCCGGATCCTTTTATGTTTCGGCAAAATACTGTATTATTACTTCAATAAACCTCAGAGGCATCTCAGTATAATAGCCCCATAATTATTCATCGAATAGAGCGCTTAATGATCATCATGCACACTGAATTGGATATATCTCTATTCGCTATTATTAAATCTCATTGAGATTTTCCGAAGTAGAATAGGGATTGTTCCACATAAAAGCGCAAGATCAATGCCTATATATCGAGAATAATTATCTTGAATTTACTTTAAATTCTTTAGATTCATCCCATTTAACATAAGAGTTAACTTTAATTTCGACAGAAATGTTTAAACCAAAGCACAAAAAAACTATATTGAGATAAAAGAAGACACACATCAAACCATGTAATTAAACAAGACAATAAAATTATCCAATTTTGGGGACCCATCATAAGATACCAAATGTAACATTAATTCTTAGTCTTTGGACAGAGAAATTAACTGCGAGCGGTACTCTTAATACAATGATCAAATACTGATAATAAGTTCCGTCAAACAACAGTC